TGCATCATTCAATATTTTGAACATAGAATCCTTCAATATTTCAACTCATGGCTAGAATTTTTAAGTTCACCATCATATTCAAAAGTCTTTTAACATCTGTAAAAAGGTCCAATCTTGTAAATCACTATTTGTCCCACTAAGCTGTGTCTGTCAGGATCTTTAATGACCCCAAAGTCTTTAACCTTAGGAACTATCTTAGTAAATCTTTCTACTCTACTTTCTTCTAAATATCACATAAGATGGACATGATTATGGGCTCATGTATGACGGGGGAAAAATTTACAGTCTCTTCCTTCATCGTTGATTCACAATTTACAAAGTTCATAGCAAAAATCCCACTGATATGGTACACTAATTAGTACTTGAAAGTTAGATATTTTATGTGCAACGTATGTGGAATTCCCCTGAGTTGATAATAATTTCAAAAACATAGTTTTTAAAAATGGCCACCTCCCCCAGGAGGATAGAAGGATGCCACTGCTGGTGATATGACAACTTCTTCAGTATAAGGATGACTCATCCTAAGTGTAAAATATCAAATAAATAAAAAAAAAAGTACTTCAAACATTTTTTCTCACATATACTCTTCCTGAAACCATATCTTCATTCTCATTAAGGAATACAGATTGACATTTTCTTTTAAAATGTCTACTAGAGTATCACTGATGTTTATAATAACATTAAAACATTGTGTGGTCTTGAAATCATTTCTGAATAGCCCAAATAAATGTTAAATTATGTTGAACATGATCTCAATGTTGAAGTATGTTGTTGTTATATGCCACGGAGTTGGTTCCGACTCACAGCGACCGTGTACACGGTTTCCGAGGCTGCAAATCTTTACAGGAGCAGAAAGCCTCATCTTTCTCCCGCAAAACAGCTGGTAGTTTCAAACTGCTGACTGTGAGATTAGCAGCCCGATTCGTAACCACTATGCTACCAGATCTCCTTAATGTTGAACTATAAGCCTCCCCAATTTTTAAAATATAATATTTACACAGTGGCAACACCAACAATGGGCTCAATAATAACAAATGTAAGGGTGAACAGGAGTGGGTAGTGTATCGTTCTGTTGTGCACTGAGTCACTATGAGTTGGAACTGACTTGAAGGTACTTAACAACAAACACAATAGTTTCTGATGGCTTGATCTAAAAGACTGCATAAATGATACAGGTACTCCTGTCAGGAATTAAATTATTTATCTGTGTTGGAAGAAGTACAACCAGAATGCTCCCTGGAAGCCAGCCTCTCTCATACTTCAGATATATTATCAGGAGGCACCAGTCTCTGTAGAAGGGTATCATGTTTGGTAAAGTAAAGGGACAGGACAGAGATAAAGAGGAAGGTCCCCAGTGAGAGGGATTGGCAGAATGGAAGCAACAATGGGTTCAGGTGTGACAGCGATTGTGAGACTGGTGCAGCGCCGGGCGATGTTTCATTCTGTTGTGCACAGAGTCACTATGTGTCAATATTGACTTGATGACGAATCGGGCTGTGAACTGCAAGGTCAGCAGTTCAAAACTTCCAGCTGTTCCATGGGAGAAAGATGAGGCTTTCTGCTCCCATAAAGATTTACAGCCTCAGAAACCCTGTACAGGGTCACTATGAGTCGGAACCAACTCCACGTCACATAACCAACCAACTAACAACAACAAAAACAGCAGCTTATTATGTCTCAATCTGTTGTTATTGTTGTTGTTGTGTGCTGTTGAGTTGGTTCTGACCCATAGCAGCCCTGTATGGTATTTCCCAAGGAGTGGCTGGTGAGCTTGAACTGCCGACTTTACAGTTCAAACTGACTTTGCAGTCCAGCACATTAACCCACAGCACCACACCATGACTCCGTGGCTCAATATAGTAGACTGCATAAATAATACAAACATTCCTGTCAGGAATTAGATCATGAAGGGGCTTCAAGAAGTTCAGGGGGAAAATGTCACTGTAGTTTAATTCCATTTTCACACAATTTTTTTTGAAGTACTTATGTAAAAACTCTTCACACCTACAATTGTTCAAGTCCTAAACCTTGTACCTGTGAATATTACTCCACTTGGAAATAGTTTCCTTTATTATGCCAATGAGGCCATACTAAGAGTAGAGTGGTATTTTCTAAAAAGAGCAGAACAGACAGTTACCCACAGGGGAAAGGGAGACAACATGTGAAGATACACGTACATCTGCAAGCAGTCACGTAATGTCAAGAAATGTCCAGGACTACAGAAGCTGAAAGAGACAAGAATCGTCTCCTAGAACTCAAAGAAAAATAGAGAGTCTAGCCCTGCTGACACACTAAATTCATAGTCTTACACTCCAGAATTGAGTTGTTAAGTGACACAAATGATTAAAGACTCTACTACTAGCAGAAAAATTGGTGATCTGAATCTACCTAGGGGTGCTTGGAAGACAGGCCTAGTTGTCTGTGTGTCAAAAATCTACACATATTGATGTCCAGGCAATAATGATTCACAGCAAAACTACAGGACAGAGTAGAAAGTTCGCCTGGGATGTCCAAGGCTGTAATCTCATGGAAACAGACTGTTGCATCTTCCTTCAATGGACAGGCTGAACTGCCAGTCTTTGGGTTAGCAGCCACATGCTTTAATCACTGTGCTAGCAGCGGTCCTTCTCTAAAGCTGCAGCCTAGAAAGTCCTATGGAACATGTCCACTTTGGAGTGGACTCAAAGGTAACTAACAATAACAACCTTCTAGAACTGTAAGAAAATAAGTTTCCGTTCTTTAAAGTCACTTACATGTGGTGTTTTTTGTTACAACAGCGCTAAGAAAATACAACTAGTAGTTGGTTGAATTCTCTGAGACAGTGTTTTATTATCCCTGCTTCACCTTCCCTCTATAAATAGATACTTAGGCTTTCTTCATTTCATTTTAGGAAGGAAGTTTCTGTCCACATGACCTATATGGAATTAAACATTGGAGACAATTTCTCTTTGAGGTTTTGCCTGCTATTTCTTCTCATTTACACATCTACATGCATGGTTTAATCCAGGAGACAATGCTGGGGATTCCATTTAATTCATGTTCAAAGCTGAGGTTTCTCTAGGGATGTTCGCTCATTCCACTTGGCATAGTAGGAACTGTGTTTGACAACATCTGCCTTACAGAAGCACTTCACAGCCTAATCTGACACTTGGTTCCCATCCACATTCTTTCCATGCCTGCCTTTTGAAAAAGATATTTCCACAACAGACGAGAAAAAAAGAAGACAGCTTTACTTGCCCAATGAATGAGTCATAAATCCACCAAATGTCTCCACCTAGTTTTTATTTCAATTCACCCAAAGTTTTGTGACATAAACCAATATTGTCTAAATCAGCTCTCTATTCCTCAAGGCTCTTTAGCATTAACAAGTCAGTTTTGAATGTTTATTTCATTGACTTTTATGAGATCTAGACCCTTTCAAGTTTCCTCAACTATGAAGAAAAGAAATAACATCTCACATATTTTACTGATAATTTTAAAACTAGCAATAAGAGATAATGAATTCCAAACATTTTGAATATGACTCCTGGTGTGGTGCTGTGGGTTAACGCACTGGACTGCAAGGTCAGTTTGCATCACAAGGTTGGCGTTTCAAGCTAACCAGTTACTCCTCAGAAAACCTGTACTCATAGGGTCCCTATGAGTCAGAACTAACTCAGCAGCACTTAACAGCAACAACAACAACTGCTAAAGTACACCAATTTATTTGATTCAAAATTAACAGTCCAAAAAAAGAAATAGACAGTCAATAGGAAATTCCATTTCTTAAAAAATTTAAAGCTCTTATGTCCAAATAAATTTTATGAATACAGAAATTGATTTGGGGAAAAGTTTAATACCTATCAATTTGAAAGATTCCTTTACATCCTGAAATAACTTAACTCATTGCCTACAACAACAGGAAATCCAGCATATGGAGTAGCAATTACTGCTTAAATTATTACCTGCTTAAATTAAGCTGTCTGTTATTTTGCTACAGCTTTACATTTTAACAGATTGTTTCAAAATGTCACTCTATTTCTATTCTCCTGGAAACTCTGAGCCATTTTGCTCTGCTTCAATATATGAAGTCCTAAAATTTCCCTGAGCCAGACAATACATAAACAGCTGGTGATACTAAATTGTCTCCTTAGCATACTTTATAAATACATTTTCAGAAAGTTGGACTATAATCCACATATTTGTTTACAGATACATATTTAAATGGTATAAAAGAACATCTTGGCTTTTTTGATGATTTTATGAGGGGAAACTAAGGACAGAAAGTTCAAGTAGGACCTTAAAACAACAAAATATTCTCTTTTTGTCAGCAAATATTACACAGATGTTGGCACTCATATTATATTTTGACCTTTCACTTGCTACATTTTTTCACTATTCGAGATGAGCTCAATTAACTTTTGCCTCCTCGTCATGTCTAGGAGTATAGAGCAAAACCAAGTGGCCCCATATAAATCTTTACTTCTTGTTCAAATGTAACTTCTCAATGAGGGAAGTTAGTTTTGAAAACGTCAGCATTTGTCCAGTTGTATTTTAGTTTGCTGAAACAAACCCAACATTTCAAAATAAGTTATTTTGAAGCTGATGACTCTCTTCTCAAATACATCTACTCATGCTAGTGATTCATTGAGGATTCTTTTAAATAGTAAACTCATCTAGTAAATTAAGATGTGATTAGATATATATGCATACATTTTTCTTTTTTCAGGAACACTGCTTATATAAAAAGCAAGATTTACTTTACCTGTAAACTCTACATGTTTTTCCTTTTCACTCTCCTTCTGCCCTCCAAGGACATCCAGCCTGAGATCCAGCTGCTTTTTAAGAGGCATGCAGTTCCCATTAGACAACAAATTTGATTGCATGCTCGCAATCAAGATTCGAGTCAGTCAGTTGCTCACATTGGCTCTCTGACCCCTTTGTCCTTTGAGTCAGGTTTCCTGACTTCTCCAGGTCACCAGGTTCCTTAAAGATGCTATCATATAATGCAATAAACTTACTGTTTTCTTTAACACTTTGAGTGCATAAGGCTTCTGGGTCCCCTTCTGTTTGCATCTGTACACAATGGATGTAGCACCCCTTGGGGAATAAAAGAAGCAAAAAGAAAATATTATGCTCTGGACACTGAATTAAAAGAGACATCTAGAAAGTAATTAGTATGTCTTGTACTTATCTTCATAACTGACAAGTACTTATTTATAATTCCACTATAAAATCAGACCTCATTGCTCAGAGAATTTTTTTTTGTCTTTCTCATAACAATATAGTTTACTCAGAAAAACTGAAGACTTCTCTTTCTTATATTTCCCTAGTGCTCTACCCCATTCAAGTAACAAGCCTAGTGTTGTTACATCCCATATGCTCTAGAATAAACCATGTACTCAGCTGAACATAATTTTTAAAGACACCCACACAATTCTAGAGTCCTTGAACCTTCAGAAAGGCATTTCTAGACTAAAATAAGGCATAGTAGGGAAGGGAAACCTTTTTGCTTCCAAGGGTCATTTGGATATTTATAACATCATAATTATCGATTTAACAATTAACTTGCTATAATGTGATAAGTGGACCTGCAAAACTGTTGTTGCCTTGGCAGGACCAGATGTAATGATTTTGTTGGCCTTATACAGGCCAGACATTCCCCACTCCTGCTGTAGGATGAAGCTTTAAGTTCAACATGTTGCTATGAGGATCATAGATAAAAATTAAATGGGTCCGAACAGTCTTCATCTCCATTACATATAAATTAAATTCTCAAGAGTCTCAATCTGTGACCCTTCCGAATTTACATCTATTTCATTTGGTGCCCTGGGACTTGCCCAGAGACAATGTTGACCCCACAGAAATCCTGGCTACTTTATCGTAGTGAATCTTGTTGTTGCTAGGTGCCATGGGGTCGGTTCCAACTCGTATAAGGTTGTTGAGGAACAGCTGATCTTGTGGTTAGCAATCCAGGATTTACCCTACAGCACCACACCAGGAATATTACAAATACTTATTTACACACGCTCTGACAAATAATTTTGTGAACGATCACTAAAGATAATTTTGTGAAAGATCACTAAAAACAGTTAAATAAATGGAGAGAAAGTATAAGTCTCTCCCTATGTAAAAACCTTAGAGAGGTTCAGAATGGTTTTTTATTTGCAAAAGAAAATGGTGATGATTGGCCAGCAGCGAGGCAAGACCTGGGGACTCATGGGCTCAGAGTCAATGACACAGCCACAGAGAACTAGAGTGGAGAGCGAAGTGGCCAGCTGATATGAAGAGGGTGGACAGACGCAAGAATACTCACACTTGAAGATAATACCCACTTGACCTGGCTTCAATAACTGGGTGAACAGAGCTCAACCCGAAGAAGAAAGAAGAGGAAAAAAGCGTCATCTGATACAATTTGATAAACTTGACCTACACCTATAAATGCAGTAGCTCAAAAGAGGAAACAAATCCCTGCTGCAAGAATTATTCCCACCCCCTCCACACAAAGAGTAGACAGGGATGGGCAACTTGGACATTGTCTACCCAAAATGGGGGAGGGATACAAAGGTAAGAAGTTACTGGCTTACAAGCTTTCAAGATGGAACCTGGATCCAAAGGGCGTGGAGGAAGGTAGAGTCTCCAGTGAATAGTATACAGCCTGTCCAGGAAGGGCTGATGAAATGAAATGCAGATGGGTCTCTTGTGATGCAATAGAGAATAATAGTTATCAGGACTGATTGTGAGGGTTGGAAATGTAAAGGTGGGCATTTTATAGCAAGGAGGGGAGTGATTAACTTTTCAGTCTAGGAGCGGAGGGCCCTGGGACCATCAATGGAGAAGAGCGGAGAACAGGACCCTTCCCAGAAAAGCAGTGATGCCTGAGATGGAGGCAGAGAAGATGACGTGAAGAGATGGAGTGGCTGGGGGCTTGAGATCCAGAGAGGGAAAGAGGCTGTGTGCTGAGGACCATGGGGTGGGGTGGGGGGGGCAGGCTTGATGCATGGACAGGATGGTAACTATAGCAATGAAATGATGTATGATAGAATGAATGCAAAACTAATGTTCTCCCATGTAAATTATCACACAATTCACAATAAAACATTTATTAAAAGAAAGAAAGAAAATGGTGAGGAAACAACTGGTGAACAAACTGTCAGTCAGATGTGATATGGCCATCTTGAATTTTTGCAAACAGCTTTGAAGAGACAGACAGATGGTGACCTGATGGTGCAGATTTACACAGGCGACTGAATAGTGACCCTGCCCATACAGCTCAGTCACAACCATATCTTCTGCCGTTCCACCCACTGAACAAGATCCAGTATCAGCTTATATATCACTTGATCAAAGATATACAACAACAGTCGAATTCAACCTAAATTGAGTTGCATGAACAGAAAATGGAAACAGTGTACATGTTTCCATTCTCTAACAACATCCAGCAGGAGACAACTGTTGAGACTAAGAACATACCAACATACAATCATCAATGTGGCACTGTAGGATCAGCACTGGACTGTTCAAACCCACCAGCTGCTCCTTGGAAACCCTATACAATATCACTATGAGTTGGAATCAATTCAACAGCACTTAACAACAGCAACAATGACACCAAAAAGTCTCACAGACAACAGAAGATTTTAGCTCACATGAAGAAACAAAAGAAAGTGGTTCAAACAAATGACTAAGATGCAGAAAGGTAATGGCACTACCTGAGAAAGAATTCAAAAGAATGATATTTAGGTACCATCAGCAGATTGGCAAAAAGATTGAGAAAAGCAAGAACACAGAAAAACTTTAAAAGAATTAAGGAAAACAAAACAAGAATTGACAGAATAAAATCAAATTTTGAAATAATACAAAACCTACAAATAGAAATCCAGAGGATTAATACTAAGATCTGAGAAATGAACAATACATTGAAAGGACAAAGGGGTAGATTTGAATCAGTGGAAGCCTGAATTAGTGATCTTAAAAGATAAATCTCTCAATACTAGTAAGCTAGAAGAACAATTAGAAAGAACAAATGAAAATTTCAAAAGAAAACCTGAGATTTATTTGGGAACCATAAAGTGGGATAACTTATTGGTGACCAGAACTCCAGAACAGGTAGAGACAATAAAAAGCATAGAGAAAATTGTCGAAGAGTTGCTGACAGAAAACTGCCCTAATATCATGAAAGACGATAAGATAGCCATCCAAGACTGAACAAACTCCACACAGTATAGATGCCAATATAAAATCACCAAGACATATCATAATTAAACTTTTCAAAATCAAAGACAATGAAAAATCCAAACAGCTCAGTATAAACAAAAAGTTATCAGCAAAGGAGAACCAATAAAATGAAGCTCTGATTTCTCAGTAAAAACCATGCTGACATGAAGGCAGTGGGACAACACAAACAAAACTCTGAAGGTAAAAAAAAAAATGCTGACTGAGAATCATATACCCAGCAAAGTTGTCCCTCAAATACAATGGTGAAATTGGGACATTTTCAGATAAACAAAAACTCAGTGAATTTGTAATAATCAGACCTAACATTAAAAATTAATAAAGAATGTTGTTTGCACAGAGAACCAACAATCCTGAGATTAACAAATATGACACCATCACCTAGAACTCAATCCAATCCAGGTACAGAAGTATTCAAAATAACACAAACCTACAAGAATGAAAACAAGGAACCTTAGATATCAATCCAGGCTTGTTGTTGTTGCTGTTAGGTGGCATCAAGTCGGCACCAACTCATAGCGACCTTATGCACAGCAGCACAAAACACTGCCAGATCCTGGGCCAACTTCACTACTGTTGCCACACTTGAGTCC